CCCCTCACTCAGCTCCTGACTCTTTCTACAGCCTTTCCACTGCTTCTCCTAGGCTCCTTCTTACTGCTGTCTTTCAGCCACACCTCTGATCCTATGGTTGGAAAGATCTACACCTAGCCTTCTCGGACAAGGGCGAAAAATCTCAGAGGTCCCATGTGCAAGTTGCGCACGATAAACATCCCTTGGTGGTCCAAAATCGATAAGAGTAGGCTTCGGCCGCCACCCGGGCAACATTCAAAATGTCGTACCAACTAAAAATGTTAAGGGTGTTCAGCGCGCTCAAATGACCTTATACAGTTGCGATCGCCGTAAAACGCTTACCAAAAAATAAGTGTAAGACTTAAATACGACAAATCAGATATCTTGTGTCTTGAAAAGTGTTGCACACCAACAAAATAAACATGAGCTCTTTTGCTTTGCAGAATGTTATATTCTCACAAAATGTTACACATAGTATAATCATTTGTTAGTTTTAGTAGTTTTAGTAAGAGTTTTACGGCACTTACAACACAATAAGGTCATATAAGTGCCGAAGATTAGAGGTATTACAAGCGAGTAACAAACACAAAAAAGGAGGAGAGATCAGGACAATAGATGTTTGATAGGAAAGAAGGAGCAAACCACACCAGAGCACCCGCCAACCACCCACTAATAGTTTGTATCCAGTATAATTTTTATACTCAATCAGAACAAACACGATTTCTCGTGTCCTGCACAGTGTTGTACTTTAATAAAACTGATGAGATTTTTTCGAGCCGTGCAGATTGTTAGTCTTGATCAAAACAAAAAGAATTTTCTGCGTTTTGCACTGTGATGTACTCAAACAATAAAACTTATGTCTGCCGCGTAACAGTTAGGCTCTTCGTCGTGGCATCAAAGATGGTACATAACAAAGATTGTTCACTCAGCCAAAAACGTGTCTGCGGAAGTCCGCGCATTGCTTCAGATGGCGCTGCAGTCTTTGTTTTGAAGCTCTTTTTCATTTCTCGAGAGAAGAACAGGAACAGCACAGTTTGTTAGTTTCACTTCTATTGTTTTTCACACAAGTAGGGTAACTCTGCTTGCAAAGTCCGCGCTTTTTCGAAGAGGGCGCCCCCGAATTTTGAGTAAGCTTTTTAATTGGCTCAAAGAGAGGAGTGAATTTTTTTGTATACACGATCTTTGGTGGCACGCAAGAGTTCGTTTCTTGTGAGGGGGAATAGTTGTAACGAGTATCTCCATCACTTCACTGGTATGTTGCATCCCACTCAACTGGGGTTGGCCCTGATAAACATGTTCGAAGCAGCCTGCCTCCTTAAAGTTTTCAATGCTAACAACTTTTAAAAGGGAGAATGAGAATGGGCAGGGTACGTGCTCAGCTACAATTACTCACTTACAACTCTCCGAACAAATTTGCATATAAATAGAAAACCCCCAAAAGGTCCACTTATTGAAATTCTACTCATGAACTTTCAAGCTGTCTAAACCATGACAAACAGGACAATTAATTTAAGATAAGCTTACAATTAGGGCTCAGTTCAAGTTGAACCAACTAGGTACCTACAGCATATACCAAACAAGCCGGCAAATTTATATAGCCTATGGTGACAACCAGGAATAAACATTCTCAGAGTCAACCAATCAGTTATAAATAACAAGTCACCTCGAATGGCCCCATTAGTTTCAACAAAGCGTTCTAAGAGCGTGTAATAAATTAAATGTTTTCAAAATAAGCCGTCCTTCTAGTGGAAAGCAAGAGAGAAATCGTGCTGAAGACTGTCCACTGCCCGAGCGTGGATGTTAAAATGAGAGCTTTCTGTCGTGACAAGCCAAAATAAAACAAAACAAACCTTCGGGAAAAAAACAAAAAATAACAACCCAGGACTAAAAGCGAAAGAGAAAAAAGACCGAAACAAGGACAGGCTTGTCTCAGGTAGGTCAACGACTTAGCTCCACAAACCGAACGAACCTGCACGTCCTTAAAAAATCTGGGCATGTCCAAAGGGTGGTTACGTGTGTCCAGGTAAGAAGAGAGAGGGCATTGTGGGGCGGAGATGATTCATTAAGCCGAGCATTCCTAGATAACGGACAAGGAGGCAAGAAAAGGTTGATGTATGGCGTGCAGGTATAAAAAATGAAAACACGGGACTGCTTTTTGAGGTCAGGCGGCGTGGTGATGAAAGATAGTCCATGGTCAAGGTTGTGAAGGGGAGAAGTGTGTCCGCGTGTGTGTCTGTAGGTTTGTACTTCTGTTTACAACTGTTTCGCGTTTGCGAATCAGCACCTTTCCCAATTGTTTCGTTTTCGTAGAGGACTTTGCTGATATTTGAGTGTTTGCGCGTCTGTCTGTTTATTTTCATTTGAGTCCTGTTTTGTTTTTGTGTAATATGTTGTTGTTCTTTCTTTGAAAGATAACATACGTTTGCATGTGTATTTATTGTGTGTTTGCTCGCGCGCGCGCGCGCGCGCGTGTGTGTGTGTGTGTGTGTGTGTGTAAGTATGTGTGTGTGTGTGTGTGTGTGTG